GTGGAGAATGTCAGTGAGCTGCAGCTGTGTGCCATTAAATTAGTTACAGCAGTAAGTCTTTGTTTTCTGGTATACTACATTGCCAGTTTCCCCCCTTCTGACTGTTGTGTACATCCATTTGTGTATTATGCTTGCATGTGTTTTTACTGTTGTTACCAAACTTATTGTTTCCTGTCTCCAGGTGTTCTCGCGTTATGAGAAGCATCGGCAGCTGATCTTGGAGGAGATCTTTACGTCTTTGGCCAGACTGCCCACCAGCAAACGCTCCCTCAGGAATTTCAGGTAATTTGTTTTATTTGAATTCAAAGTGATGTATGGCCATTAGGTGTAGCAGGGATAATGCAACAAACAAGGGATATGATTATTGTCCGACCGTCAATGTAGAACAGTAATAGCAGAGGCAGAGGTAAACATTTCTCGGTGTAAAAAAACATATTATTTTCTTGGATAATACCCATGATAGTAATATATCATGTGTCCTGACATCTTGTGTCCTCAGGCTGAACAGCTCAGACAAGGATGGAGAGCCGATGTACATCCAAATGGTGACGGCTCTGGTGCTGCAGCTGATCCAGTGTGTGGTCCATCTCCCAAACGACAAGGACATGTTTGAAGAGTGTGACAAGGTAGGAGAGCAAGCCAACCGGAAAAGCAAGCAAATATAAAATGTATACAAATGCAAACACACACGCACACACACTTTTCTCACAAGTCCTTTTTCTTTTTTCAGGTGGATCAAGATGTGTTGATAACCAACTCTTATGAGACGGCAATGAGAACAGCACAAAACTTCCTCTCAGTCTTCCTCAAAAAGTAATTACCATTCCACTTTATACTGCCTTCTGTGTACTTTTTCATTACAAAGTTGTACTCTGTCTTCTTAAATATTTATTAACATGCATACAGTGCAGATTAGTGCCAAAGAGAAGGGCTGAAGAACTACTTTTTCTCTCTTGGAGCGTTTATGGCCTGTGTAATCGTAGAAATATGTATCGAACCACCATCATCGCCGTGGTGCGCATGTTTTCCTCATGTGCATGCTGTTGTATGATACACTTGGTTTGATGGACTTGTCTGCCAACAAATTTAGTCGCAATTTTCTGGTTGCTTCATAGCCCTCTGCCCCTGATTGGTATTGCTAACATTAATCTTTTCTCCTTATGCTTTCCCTTTGTCCCCTTTTTTGCCCCTTTTCCTCCTCTGCCACTTTCTTTGTCTATCCCGTCCCTCAGGTGTGGCAGTAAGCAAGGAGAAGAAGATTACCGGCCATTGTTTGAGAACTTTGTCCAGGACCTTCTCTCAACAGTAAACAAACCAGAATGGCCTGCTGCAGAGCTGCTGCTCAGTCTGCTTGGTAGACTACTGGTTAGTATGACAGAGCTCTTTCTTTAAACTGGAAATCTAACTGTTTGTGTTTGTGTGAAAGTGTGTTTTTAAGAATAGATGATCCAGATTACTAGCAGGGGAATAATGCTGAGACATGGAGATTGCAAGGCGTTATTTGGAAAATACATCATCTGATTGTATGCATAAAAGTATAGTAAAAAGATAAAGTATTTAAACACTTAGATGCTCTAAAGTAGAAAGTAATTCAACTTGTCATTTAGCGTGTAAATGACAGCCAGTCTTGGTCCTAAATGTAATATGATAACACTGTCACAACAGCGCATTTCTTGCTGACCATCTGCTCTTATATTCTCTGTTTCTTTCTCTCTCTCTCTCTCTCTCTCTTTCTGTGCTTCCATCAGGTACACCAGTTCAGTAATAAGCAGACAGAGATGGCTCTAAGAGTTGCATCTCTAGACTACCTGGGCACAGTGGCTGCCCGTCTGAGGAAGGACGCAGTCACCAGCAAGATGGACCAGAGGTCGATTGATCGTATCCTACAAGAGGTAGAAGACCAACTTTATATTTGGTGACCTCACTGTCTCTTGAACTATAAGTTCATGTTTATAGTGACAAATAGGAGTTAAATGGGACAAGCAGAACATTTTTGAAATGAGTTTCTCTTTTGCTTGAAGATTTGCATCAAAACCTTTTTGCTAAATTTGGATTTAGTGATTTGGATTGGTATGAGTGGCACTTGTTTTGATCTTTCTCTCTGATTTATATAGGCTCCAGGTAGTGATGAGACCCAACAGCTGCAGAAGGCTCTACTGGACTACTTGGAAGAGAATGCTGACACTGATGCCTCACTGGTGGTGGGTTTCTATAAGACAGACTGTCAGAGCTTTAGATATCTGTCATGTTTTAGTTTTTTACTTTAAACTGGCTATTTAACCACTTATGGAAGCAGCTTGATATAGGTAACTGCCCCATGTAAGCGAACGCTTACATGGGGCAGAAGATCATTAAAATTACAGAAGATCATTAAAATTATTTGCCTTAAACTCCCTAAATTCTTGAGAATTAAAGGGCTACATTAAAGCCACACATAATATTGGCTTATAATATCACTGTGTTATGGAAGTTGTTTAATTAATTTCTTACTCTCCGCTAAATCTGATACTGAGATCTTCTTTGTCCAATAGTTTGCTAGAAAGTTCTACATTGCTCAGTGGTTCCGGGACGCCACCACAGAGGCTGAGAAGTCCATGAGGAACCAGAATCCGAAGGATGAGGACTCATCGGACGGACCACAACATGCCAAGGAGATCGAGACCACCGGTGAAATTATGCAGCGTGCTGAAAAGCGCAAGAAGTTCCTGCGCAACATCATCAAGACCATGCCGGCTCATTTTGCCACGCTGAAGTAAGGATGTGTGAATATTTTTGCAATGTACTCAATCATAATCATAAATGTTTTGATTATTCCTGCCTTTCATAATCGTACTATCTCTGTTTCTTGTTAATTGTCACAGCCTCCTGTCAGTTGCAATCTCACTGCCAGTTGTATGACTGAATAATCCTATAACATTCTTCCTCTTTGCCCTTCTCCCCAGAATGAACTCTGACACTGTGGACTATGAGGACTCCTGTCTGATCGTGCGTTATTTGGCCTCCATGAGGCCGTTTGCCCAGAGCTTTGATATTTATTTAACACAGGTAAGATTTGAATATTCCACCATATGTGTCTAATAATAATCTATAAATCATCCACACATTATAATACAGGTGATATTTGTCTTTGTCTTGAAAACTGTTGAACTGAAAAAGCATCAGTTTGTTAAATCATAGGCTGGTGTATTTTTTTATTTTACTTTTATAGATCTTGCGAGTCCTTGGGGAAAGTGCCATCGCTGTAAGGACTAAAGCCATGAAATGTCTGTCTGAGGTTGTGGCTGTGGACCCCAGCATACTGGCAAGGGTATGTGAGCAGCTGACAACAATTTGTCATGCCTGAATCTTACATTAGTTTCACACACTGCATGATGTAGGCTGTCTTAATGTCTGTTCTCTTTCTGTCATATGCTTTTCTGTTGTGTATGCAATACATATTGTTGTCTTTTCTTCCCCAGTGTATATACTGACACTCTCTTCTCTACTTCCGCAGTCTGACATGCAGCGCGGCGTCCACGGTCGTTTGATGGACAACTCAACCAGTGTGAGAGAAGCGGCAGTAGAGCTGCTGGGCAGATTTGTGCTCAGCAGACCCCAACTCACTGAGCAGTACTACGACATGCTCATAGAGAGGATACTGGTAAGTTGCCCAATCAGACTCACTCACTGTAGACACATTCGTGAATTGGCAGGTCTTACAATCCAATCAATATGAACTGTCTATATGATTACGTACATGAAGGTATGAGAAAAATTGACAACTATTGAGTACTGGCTGGATGAATGGATGAGTCTTGCTTGCAATGATGTTGAATGCTGCATGTTGTGCTCATGCATGTTGGATCAATTTTGTCATAATATTTACGCCACACCCTGAGTCATAGATATCCCCTGCTGTTTCTCAGCATGTGACCTGTTGCATTGAAATTGTCTTTGCACTCCACTACTATGTTGTGATCTTAATCATACTGTGCCCTGGCAGTAGACCATTATTGCCTAAATCACCTGATATCTCCCTTGTTCATTTATCAAGAGCCTCCTACATAGCAAGCAAGTATCTTTGAGTTGTGATCCATTCATTGTTCACCTTTTAAGATTGTCACCAGTGGAAAAACAGCTTTTAATTTGCACTTCAAAACTCTTAAAACACCCATTCTTGGTTTAACTCTTCATTCAAAACTAGTGTGAAAATGCAGCTGTTGTTGCATGCATGTGTTTATCACATATGCAAATGGTGTGAGTGGGGCCACTTCTTCTATTTGAGCAGGATTGCTGTTTTTTTTTTCTCGTCCCTGAGTTTACATAAAAGCATTGCAAGGTTGAGTTGGAAAAAAAGTTACTAAAAAATGTTCATTTAGGATGTTTCAAGTTTGCAATTATGTGATTGAAATGGTTCAATAAGGAGCCAGTTTAACAACAGCATGCAGACTGTGTTAATATAAGCTATCGATGCTGAAATGCAGTCCAGCACAGAAGCTTTGTACTTACGCTTTGTCCTCAGCATCTGAGAATTGAACATTGAAATTGTTGTGCCTGTTGTCATGGAAATGTTGAGGAGGGTTCATGAGAAGTTCACTCTTCGTTACGGTCTTATACTGCCACCTGTTGGTAGAAAAATGCTATTGCAATCCATGCAGCTGTTTATAAATGAAAACAAGAGCCTTGTTTTTGATATTATGCTTGCAAAATATTGCAAAGCCTTCATGAATTTAATTGGTTTTGCTCTACAGGACACTGGTATCAGCGTAAGAAAACGGGTGATCAAGATCCTCAGAGACATCTGTCTGGAGCAGCCAACCTTCAGTAAGATTACTGAGATGTGTGTAAGGATGATCCGCAGGGTCAATGATGAGGAAGGTATCAAGGTATGGATTAACTGCACTTGTTGTCTTTTTCAATTATTTTTTTCATAAATTCTATTCATTTCTCATGCTTATTTTTAGACAAATCTCTCTATATTGCAATCTATTCATCACAAAAAAGTTTGAAAGAGTTGTGCAACTAATGACACATGTTGTATTCTTTATAGAAATTGGTGAATGAGACATTCCAGAAGTTGTGGTTTACTCCGACTCCAGCCCATGACAAAGAGACCATGACCAGAAAGATCCTCAACATCACTGATGTGGTAAGTTTAAGCGACCTACCAATTTGTTGTATTCAGTAATAAAAATGATATACTTCAACAAAATGTAAAAACCTCTCATTAGCCCTCACCCTGTCTCATTTATGGTGTATTTTTAATTCTCATGTCTAATTCTTCTGCAGGTGGCAGCGTGTCGAGACACCGGCTATGACTGGTTTGAGCAGCTTCTTCAGAATGTAAGTATTTGATTTTGTGTTGAGGGCTTCACCTGGCGGGGAATACATTTGTTTGAAACCTTTTGAAAACGATTGTTGTCTCTATTGCGCTAGCTTCTCAAGTCTGAAGAGGATGCATCGTATAAGCCAGCCAAGAAGGCCTGTGTTCAGCTAGTTGACAATCTGGTCGAGCACATCCTCAAATACGAGGAGTCTCTTGCAGGTATGACGTCAATTTAAACTGCCACAATTTTCTCTTTGATAAAGGAGAAAACTTATAAATGTATATTTATATATAAAAACAACACTTTGTGTATTTTTTATTTCCTCTTTCCTCTGTAGAGAACAAGGGTGTAAACTCAACACGGCTAGTCGCTTGTATCACCACCTTGTACTTGTTCAGCAAGATCAGGGCCCAGCTCATGGTCAAACATGCCATGACCATGCAACCCTACCTGACCACAAAGTGTAACGTAAGTTGAGTTTATTTCAAAAAGAAAATGAATTATTCTTGTGGGATAATTGATGATCTTTTACATTAGCGTGGTGAAACTAACATAGAGAATTAACTGCCTAATCCACATATTTAGCAGTGAAAACATAGTGCTTATTTCTTTATTTTTTGCAATGATTTTTCTGATTGGTGAATCTAATGACCCTCAATCGAGTCATTGTTGGCACCGATCTGTCAGTTTCTTTCTGTAATTACCGTTATATTGCTTCCCCTGCAGACTGCCAATGACTTCATGGTCATCTGTAATGTGGCAAAGATCTTGGAGCTTGTGGTACCGCTAATGGAGCACCCCAGTGAAACTTTCCTTGCCACCATTGAAGAAGACCTCATGAAGCTCATCATCAAATACGGCATGACGGTGTGTGACAGTGTTTTAAAGTATACAGTATACACTTCTATAGAACCTGGTTTGCTTTGAGATCAGAGTTACATTATGGTTTTTCTTTTTTTCTCTAGGTGGTCCAGCACTGTGTGAGCTGTCTTGGAGCTGTTGTCAACAAAGTCACGCACAACTACAAGTTTGTCTGGGCTTGTTTCAACAGATTCTATGGTGAGATACACATTTAGTCACCTTTTGTATGCACTATTTTTGCAAGGGTAACATCATTTTGTAATGTTGAGCTTTGAAGTGTCACATTCCAAGACATTAAAATGTAACTTGTATTTCAACTTTCCACACAGCTCCATAAATGTAGTGTATCCCAGTATTCCTTTGGAAGAGAGTTGTAGAGTTTGACCTAGTGCTAGAGAAAAGACATGAAAACTGCAAAAGGCAGAGAAAAACATAGTATAATCTAGGTTTTAGAAAAACTTTCAATTCTTTATCTTTGTTTTCTAGGTGCACTTAACAAGCTGAAGATTCAGCATCACGAGGATCCTAACAGCACAACGTTGGTAGCAAATAAGCCTTTCTTGCTGCGATCACTGTTCACTGTGGGTGCCCTGGCCCGGCACTTTGATTTTGATCTGGAGGAGTTCAAGGGCACCAACAAGGTAGGATTGCAATTGATCTTTTTTTGTGCTCAGACACTGCTAGAAAAATATTAGTGCAACCTAAATTAGAGCTTTCATGTGAAACCAAAGCCATTGCTCTGCCACCTTTTATTGCTTCTTATAAAAAAAAAAGATTAAATGGATGCCGTTTCACAACTGTGTGTCTGTGCATGTTGTATACAGGTTGTTATCAAGGAGAAAGTTCTCGAGCTGCTGCTGTACTTCACCAAACATGAGGACGAGGAAGTCAAAACCAAAGCCATCATCGGCTTAGGCAAGAACACTACTTTTTAAAAATACTATTAGTTTAGACAAAGGTCACCCTATTTGTGTTTGTGTGCAAAAACGTTAGCTACTGAGTCCAAAGCTTGACAGTGTGGGATGTTACATTACTGAGTCACTGACCTTCAGTGTCAGGACACCAATAGTAAAGCCAGAGAAGCTCCAGCTCAGTTTCTTGCCCCAGCGGGAGATGACTGTATTGTTGAATTATTCTTACGCGTCTTTGCTGTTTATTGTTCAGGCTTCCTTGTGATCATGCATCCCAGCCAGATGTTTATGCAGGAGGTGAAGTCCTTGTACAACGGCATCCTGGCTGACAGCTCCTCCTCCATTAACCTTAAAATCCAGATCCTCAAAAACCTCCAGACATACCTTCAGGAGGAGGACACGCGGATGCAGGAAGCAGACAGAGAATGTAAGTAAAGCAGCTTTTTAGTTCAACACTCCAGTGTTACGTCCTCTGATGTCACACAGATTGTTATTGGCACTTTGAACAATGCTCAGTGATTAATAAATTGTTTGCCTGTACCAAAAATACATTGTGTTACATCAGCTCTATATATATGTAGTAATAGAATAGATAATCAACACGTCATATTTTGTGTCTTTGCAGGGAAGAAACTTTCCAAACAGGAGGATCTGAAGGAGATGGGAGATATCTCTTCAGGGATGAGCAGCTCCATTATGCAGCTTTATCTAAAACAGGTGTTGGAGGCGTTCTTCCACACCCAGTCCAGTGTACGGCACTTTGCTCTCAACGTCATAGCTCTCACACTCAACCAGGGTCTCATCCATCCTGTACAGGTAAGACGTTAGAGCCAGAACCTGTCAAACCTCCAATAATTCATAGATAATGAAGTACAAGTTTAATAAAACATCTTGAGGATAGAATTAGGCTCATAGATTTCTGTTTGTATTTTTGATTTTCTTTCCTAAAATGTTTTGTGTGTAAGCATCTTATAGCCTGAAAATAACCCTAACTCCAAGATCATTTCATGTGCTGTAGTACGGTTATTCCCCTGTGTACTTATGCACAAGAACATAACATCTTTTTTTGTCCCGTCTTTGCAGTGTGTACCCTACCTCATTGCAATGGGAACAGACCCAGAGCCCAGCATGAGGAACAAAGCCGACCAGCAGCTGGTGGAGATTGACAAGAAGTACACAGGATTCATCCATGTGAGTGGGCTTGCAGTGTTGTGAAGTTTCATTAATTCAGTTATGACTCATCTTGTTACTTGATGACTTGAGCTAGTTCAGCTATTTGTACCTGGAGAAGGAATTCCAACTTAGCCTTTTAGTGCTCCTCTAATAATCTTCAGCACAGAATGATCAACAGACAGTCACTCCGTCATCTAGCATCATCTTAACACTTGTAACACAAATGTGCAAGATGACTTACAGTGATGTGACTTTAAAATGTATAAAATCAACTGAGATCTGAGAGTGCATCCATGCTATTATCATATAATAAAGGCCAAAACAGATCACTTCTGTCATGTTCCATAGTTGCTTTACTGCATTCACAGGCTAGTGGTTTAATTTTATTCCTCCATTGACTCCTGAGACCAGCACTAACACCAGGATTACGCATTTTAATGCATCACAGCCAGATTCCACATAAAATTGTATTGCCTTTTTTACAATGTAAAGTTTTTTAGTACTGGATAAATACTACAACATGGAGTTTAGTCTCATTATTTTATTGGCACATTGTCATGGTTGCAGCTGTCTCAACAGTTGACTGAAAAAATGACAAATTGTAACTTCTCTTTCAACATATTTGTTCACAGATGAAGGCAGTTGCTGGGATGAAGATGTCGTACAATTTGCAGCAGGCCATCGATATGTCTCGTAAGACCATCATAAGAGGCTTCAGACAGGACGAGACCCACTCGGCACTCTGCTCCCACCTCTTCACTATGATCCGGGGGAACCGGCAGCACCGGAGGGCTTTCCTCATCTCGCTGCTGAACCTCTTCGATGACAGTGCGGTGAGTAAACCTGCGCTCATCTTAACATGTCTTTGCACTTCTCGGTTTAAAGTGGAATTCCCTCATTAACTGCATGCCAAGTGAACATCTGCTTTGTGTTTTTTACACATTTGCCAGCAGTGTGTTTTAGCAAGACGTGTTTTATACAAATCTTAGGGAAACAGACCATACCATTGACTTTAAAGCAGTACCTTTTATAAAGAGATGACAAACACTGTATAGTTAAAATGTGTGTTAGATCACTATTTTACTGTCTTACACATTTTGACCATATATGAATACTTCTTATAAGAGAACACTGTTATGTGAGTTTGAACCTGGCACTAACTCTCAATCGTGCTCTTTTTTTTTTTTACTTTCTGCAGAAGACGGAAGTAAACATGCTGTTGTTTATAGCCGACAACCTCGCCTGTTTCCCATACCAGAGCCAGGAGGAGCCTCTCTTTATCATGCACCACATAGACATCACCCTGTCTGTCTCTGGCAGCAACTTGTTGCAAACCTTCAAAGAGGTAGGACAAGGATAGCAAGTAGTTTGGATGTAAAATGTTTATAGGTTTTATAGGTATAATGTTTACAGTAATAGGTATTTATGTGGACTTCAGTTAAGTTTTTTGTAAATTTCTCCTGTCCAGCTTCTGCTAAAGGAGCCGAGGCGTAAGGAGAAGAAGGAGAAGAAGGTAAAGAAGGAGTGGAAGAACATGTCAGATGGGGAGGATGAAGAGGAAAAGATGAACTGCGATTCTCCGAGGAGCGATGAGGAAGAAATCCGCAACAGTGGTGACGACAATGATGAGAATGTGGTACGGCGGCCTAAAAAGGCCAGAAAACCTGTTGCAGACAGCTCAGAGTCAGAGTCTGATCTGGATGATTTAGATTTGGAGGATGTGGAAAAAGTAATGAGGCTCCTCCCAGACAATCCCACAGGTCTCTTGGACTTCGCTAATGCTGTTCAGGGCATCCTGTTGCTACTGGTGCTCAAACAGCATCTGAAGAACCAGTATGGATTCTCTGACAGGTGAGATCTACATAGCTTTAATCTAATCTAAATTAATACATCAAAAGTTTTCTGTGAGAATTATTTTGACCAGTTCAGACCTTCAGCCACGACCTCTAAGTTAAAACTTTTTTTTGTCCTCCAACAGTAAAATTCAGAAGTACTCTCCAACAGAGTCAGCCAAGGTGTACGATAAGGCAGTGAACAGAAAAAACAACATTCACTTCCACCCACGACAAACCATCGACTTCATCTCCAACAACATGGCTCACGCCAGTCTGACACATGATGTCAAGAGGCGGATAGTCAGACAGTACCTAGATGTAAGTAATGAAGCAGAAGTTAATCTTTCTGTGGTTTTTGGATTGTATTATTTTCTGTCCTAATTATCTGCAGGGTTAGGATTATTTTACATCTACATTGTACTGTCGAAAGTTTTGCCCTTCAAATCAATTATTGGTCATACCCCAACTCTACACACATTCAATTCTTAGAGGTCGATGCTGCTTCTGGGTGTGAAACGTTGTCTTTTCACTCCACACAGTTCAAGGTTCTGATGGAACATCTGGACCCAGACGAGGAGGACGAGGAGGGAGAAGCGTCTGCCAGCGCCAACATCAGAAACAAAGCCATAAACGCCCTACTGGGAGGCTCTGGCGCCTTGTCAGGGCCCAGTCCGCGCAATCAGGCAGGACCAGAGACAGATGACGATGACAGTGATGGTGACGAAAGGACCCCAGGGGTGAGATAGATAGAGACGCATGCTATTTATAAAAGACAAGTTAAAAAAAGTGGGGGGAAATAGTGCAACCTTTTTTCTTTTGTTTTCTCTGCAGTCCTCTCGAAAGTCAAGGCGAGCCGGTGACCCCTCGGACCCTGGCCGTATGAGCGAGACAGTGGATGCTATGGATGTGATTGCCCTCTGCTGCCCGAAATACAAGGACCGACCACAGATCGCTCGAGTCATCCAGAGGACCTCCAACGGATACAGCATCCACTGGATGGCCGGCTCCTACTCGGGGCCCTGGGCAGAGGCCAAGAAACGCGATGGTCGCAAACAGGTGCCTTGGGTGGACACTATTAAGGAGTCGGACATCATTTACAAGAAGATTGCCTTGACCAGCAACCACAAACTGAGCAACAAAGTAGTACAGACTTTACGCTCACTGTATGCAGCGCGGGAAGGAGGGGCTAGCTAATGGCTCCCGTGTGGTGTTTTATTTTTTTTTTCTTTCTTTTTTTTTTTTTTTGGCTCCCCCTGCTCCATTTCTACTTTATCAAAATCCTCCTCTTCCCTGCTCCTACTCCTCCTCCTCAACCTGCCACCTCCAACAACACAGCCAAACTTCACTGGATTCCTACCCTCCTCCTCTCTTTCCTCATTTTTGTAAGAAAACACGAGAGAGCAAGAATATTTGACACTACATACTTTTACATGAGTTATTCTTGCAAAAATGAAAATGACACAAAACATAAGACTTATTATATTAGAGGGACTGCTCATGTTTTGTTTGTGTACAAGTGCAGAGGATAGAATCCAGAAGGCATTAAAGGAATAATTCACCCAAATTATCCCTTAAAAAGGCTATCAGAAAAGAGACCTGGAGGGAAATGTTTTGTCAACATTGTTGTGGGAGCTCCTTCGCTGTTGTGCAGCAGATTCTAGTCGCTCATTTCTACTCCCACTGTATCATAGTTTAACACGACAAAAAACTAAAATGTTTATATCTCTGAAGACAAAAAAGCTGTAAAAAAAGAATAAAACCTTAAGTGAATGTTGGAAATTAGTCTTTTTGATGTTCTTATTAAAGTGTTTTTGGAGTTTATTATACTACTAGCACCCTGATGGTTTTTCCTTTTAGCTTTTAGATATTTGAAGGAAAAAGACGAAAAAAGAAAAAAATAAGAATTTTTATTTTTGTTCACTTTTATTTGTCCATGCTGTACAATGGCAGAGTCCTCTGAATATAATTTATTCTATTTCGAACTACGCATGCAGTATATGTGGCCTATTGCAGGAGGATATTTTGTAAATGTAGATTTTGTTGTATTAGGTCACCCTAGTAATAAGAGGAAAGGGGATTCATACCCTTTCGGTGGAACAAATACTGCAATAAATTTTCTACTTCTCTTTGTCACTTGTCTGCTCAAAGTGTTAATCTGATCTTTTCATTTTGCAAATGAAGAATAGTATAGGACCTGGATACTGCTAAAGCACAGACAGGCCTGTAAGAGGGTTGATATTATTTACACAAGGGAGAGTGCCTACAAAATGATGCCAGACAACCCTTTTTTAATTCAATGTATTGTCATCACACCAGTCCAGTATGACAAAGTCTTGTTCGCCAGTCTCTTTGGCGCAACATAAGAGCATAGTGCGGACCCTGACACAGTAAGAGACGCTTTAAAGACAGTTTTAGATGCAAAAATACAAAAACACAAGTCAAAATATGAGTAGAAGTTATTCAGGACCTGAGATTGCAGCTTCATTTTGTTCAGCCTCAGAAAGTGGGATTGTTGGTGATAAATCTTGGGTTATGTGAATTTAAGACTTGACCCTCAACAGCAGATCCATCAATATAGATAGGTGTGTGGTTTTTGTTGTGTCTCCTTTTTATTACTATTTTCTGTACATAGATTTCAAAACGAAAGTATGGTAATGTGTGGATATTGATTGTTTCAATAGTATTTGAATATACTATATATTTATATTTATACTATA